TCAAACAGTAAGAATTGAGTGATGGATTCAATCCTTCAGAGAGTTGCATTCTTTATGTGTTCATATCCCTTTACTTTGCTTGAGCTGCCTTCAACTGGGTGCCAAGTTCTTGCAGCTTGGCTTTTGCAATTTTATGGGCTTCTTCATTATCAATGAGTGTTATCTTTAAATCATTTATTTGGATCTTCAAAGTTTCTGTTTTCTTGTTCAAAGTTTCCAGTCTCATTTTCAAAGTTTTCAATTTCTCCTTGCTATCCTTCTGCTTTTCTAGAGTATGATTGGTAATTTCCTCAACATCATTTTTGTTATTTGTATTCAATGCTATCAAAGATGACATGATTTTCTCTCTCTATATCTCTTGCAATTGAAGCACAAAGAAATATATTATGTGATGTCTCTAAATCCTATATGTTGCACATATTGGGAAAAAAAAGAAGAAAAAATGGTGCTCGAAAAATCCTAGATCTCAATTAATTGTGTTAGAGAAGCAATTGAAGGGTGAAAATTAAGGAACAAAAGAAGGGCTTTTATAGTTGGTGTGAAATATTTTTACAAACTATATATTTGAAAATCTTGTAAATAACTAGTCATTCTATTTACTTTTATTTTGTCATGTTGCGTTTTTTGAAAGTCAATTTGACTAATTTTCAAAATTAAATTAGATTACATTAATTCAATATTTTAAACAAAAAATTTAGATATTCAAAAACTATACAAAAAGTACTATAAGTTGCAATTTTTTGCATATCAATATGATGGAAAAATACATAATAAAATGTTAGTCAAAGTTTTATAGTTTGACTCTAAAAAAGAAAAATATGACAATTCTCGGTAAGACAAACAATATCATAAATAGGTAAATAAATTATTATCATCAATTCATTCTTTGTCCGTCAATCCAAAGTAAATAGAAAATCATACAAAATGATATGACTTATAAGTATTAGATTTACAATACTATGAAGAAATTCATTTCTAGTAATTGTCTATTAAATTGGTACTTCATAAGGAAATTGGAAAAGAATTTTTATGAATTTTATTTTTAAATATCAAACTCAGTTAATAGATTTAGAAAAAAAAATGTAATACAGAGTAGGTTAAAAATAAATTTCATTTTTCTATGGAAGGTAGGGTGAATTAAAATCTTCATAACTTGCATGTAATCAAACCTTTTGACATCACTAGACACAGTTCTTCAAAACATCAACCTATAAATGATAAAAATGCTCATAGCTCAAGAAGAGATTTGAACAATTAATGTGAAAAAGTCTATGATTATCTAGGTAAAAAAGAAGTCAAATTACTATCACTTTCCAATTATTTAATTTCTGGTAATATATATGTACAAGAGGGTGGGTAATCTTAATTCCTCCAATAGTGACAAAGCTTTTGGATTGGAACTAAACTAGCCGATAAAAGAACTAATTAGTTACGATTCAAATTGCCGTGATCAACACCCACGTTAAACTCCATATGAACAAATCAGAACATAACATCTATAACATGCAATATTTAAATCAACCATCATAATTCAATAAGCAAAATATGATGAAATAAAGTCTCTGGCTAAGTAAAAAATATAATGCAAAAGTCTGAAATAATACATCCCCCATAGTTCGAATGCCATCATATTAAAAGTACTATAGATAAAACCGCCCACGAATATCAAATGGATAAATAAATAAATTGTATCAATATCTAAAAGAAAAGAAGATTTGTGGCAGTCACATGGAAGATAGATCGGTGTTTATTAGCATAGTTATCATAACTCTTGCACTTTTAGCTATATATTTAAAACATTTCAAATATTTTGTTTGAAAACACGGCTAACAAAAGATAGGTCCTTGCTTAATATTTTTACGTCTGAAAAAACTTGATAAAAACTTTCATAATGAGTTGGGGAACCATCACGTATACTCACATCATTTTTAACGCATATTTTTGCATTAATTACTCAAATTCCTTGATGTATTAGCTCATGGATGTGACTCCCCGAAGCACCCAAAAAAATTATGAAAAAACATTATGAGGACCTTCGTAAAGATTTGGGAAAACATCACGTATACTCACACCATTTTTTAACGCATATTTTGATATTTACGGGACAGTTTTTAAGAATTACTCAAATTACTCGATTTTTGGTATGTATTAGCCCATGGACCTGCTCCCCAAAGCACCCAATTTTTTTTCTAAAACAACTTTATGAGGACCTTTGTAATGAGTTGGGGAACCATCACGTATACTCACACTATTTCTTTAACACATGTTTTTGTATTCACATACCATTTATTAGGAATTACCCAAATTCCTCAATTTTTTGTGTGTATTATCCCATGGATCTGGCTCCCCGGAGCACCCAAAATTTTTCTGAAAAAACTTTATAAGGACCTCTGTAATGAGTTGAGGAACCATCACGTATACTCACACCATTTTTTTAACACAATTTTTGTATTTACATGTCATTTTTAAGGAATTACCCAAATTTCTCAGTTTTTCGTATGTATCAGCTCATGGATGGATCTGGCTCCCCGGAGCACCCAAAAAAAATTTCTAAAATAACTTTATTAGGACCTCCATAATGAGTATGGAACCTTTATGTACTCACACCATTTTCTTAATGCATATTTTCACATTTACACGCTATCTTTTAGGAATTATCCAAATTACTCGGTTTTTCGTGTGTATTAGCCCATAGATCTAGCTCCCAGTTTCACCCAAAAAATTCTGGAAAAAAAATTGTAAGGACCTCTGTAATGAGTTGGGGAAACATCATCTATACTCACACCATTTTTTAACGCTTTTTTTTGCATTTATAGGCTATCTTTTAGGAATTACCCAAATTACTCATTTTTTTGTGTGTATTAGCCAATAGACCTAGCTCCCCAGAGCATTCAAAAAAAATTTGAAAAACTTTATGAGAACCTCCGTAATGAGTTGAGGACCCATCACGTATATTCACACAATTTTTAACACATATACAAGCCATTTTTAGGAATTATCCAAATTTCTTAGTTTTTCGTGTGTATTAGCCCATGGATACTGCTCTCCGTAGTACCCAAATTTTTTTTCTGAAAAAACTTTATAAGAACCTCTATAATAAGTTGAAGAACCATCACGTGTACTCACACCATTTTTATCGCATATTTTCGCATTTACTGGTTATTCTTTTAGGAATTACCCGAATTACTCAGTTTTTCGTGTATATTAGCTCAGCCCATGGATCTGGCTCCCTGGAGCACCCAAAAAAATTTCTACAATTTCTTTTGAGGACCTTCATAATGAGTCAGGGAACTATCACTTATACTCACACCATTTTTTAACTCATATTTTTGTATTTACTTTCTATTTTTTAGGTATTATCCAAATTCCTTAGTTTTTTGTGTGTATTAGACCATGGATCTGGCTCCCCGGAGCATCGAAAAAAAAATCCAATTTTTTTTTATGAGGACCTCCATAATGAGTTGAGAACCATCGCGTATACTCACACTATTTTTTTAACACATATTTTTGTGTTTACATGCCATTTTTTAGGAATTACCCAAATTTCACGGGTTTTGGAGTGTATTATCCCATGGATCTGGCTCTTCGGAGCACCCAAAAGAAATTCTGATTTTTTTTTATGAGGATCTCTATAATAAGTTGGGGGAACCATCACGTATATTCACACCATTTTTAACGCATATTTTTACATTTATAGGCCATTTTTTAGGAACTACCCAAATTCCTAAGTTTTTTTGTGTGTAAGCCCATGGATCTGACTCCCCGGAGTACCCAAAAAAATTTTCTGAAAAACTTTATGAAAACCATCATAATGAATTGGGGAACCATCTCGTATATTCACACTATTTTTTAACACATCTAATTATATTTATATATCATTTTTTTGAAATTATTCAAGGACAAATTACTTAACTATACTCCTTTACTTACCTTAATATCCATTTATCCCTACTTATTTCAAAATTTTCAAAAATCCCTTATTTTACCTATGTATCCCGCATGTATCCCGCAAACATCATTTTTAAGGAATTTTTGGTAAATAGAAAACTAGAAGGGATAGGATGTTATTTAGTACTTACAATATGTGGTTCCTATAATTTATACATTATTCAAACTCCTCAATATTTCTTGTGTATTAGGCCATGGATATTTCATCATAAAAATAATTTTCCAAATACTATTAGCATCATATATATTTCATGAAAGTCCTACAACTTCTAAACAATTTGTGATTTAACACCTTAAATAAAATTATAGAACAAATTAAAGGAGTGCTTACATATATTTGGTTTCAATACTTGATTTTTCTTTCCATATATTTTCAATTCTTCTTTCCATATATAAATTCTAATTTCCATATATTTTAGAAGACTTTTCTAATTCTCCTTTCATATAATTTGGGAGTCTACATTAATTCTCCTGTCTTTTTCATGTACACAAGGAAAGTGAAAACTACATAAATACTACTTTGCATATATTTTAGGAGTTTAGTCAATATTATAAAATAATTAAAATAATAATTTGAGAAAAATATTAAATGATAGTTTTGCCTATTATAAAGTTTTTTAATGAAAATATAGATATGAAATCTGAAAAATAACAATATTTTGTGCATAAATTATCAATTGACAATGGTTAGCACAAAGTGCTCCATGGCTCCATGAATTTGAAAATCATTAGAAGAAAAATTTTTGTGATATTTTTTCATAAATGATAGACAATAGACATTAAATTTAACTAACTTATTTTGAATTGAAATAGTCAAGCTAATCTAAAACCCTAACATTCAAGAAATTATTCACTATTCCTTGAAATTTATTTCCTCTTCTTTAATAGCGACATCATTAACGAAAAATCTTGCATACGCCCATTCTTTATGTGCTCATCTCCCTTTGCTTTGCTTGAGCTGCCTTCAACTGGGTGTCAAGTTCTTGCACCTTGGCTTTTGCAACTTTATGGGCTTCTTCATTATCAATGAGTGTTATCTTTAAATCATTTATTTCAATCTTCAGAATTTCTGTTTTCTTGTTCAAAGTTTCCAGTCTCATTTTCAAAGTTTTCAATTTCTCCTTGCTATTCTTCTGCTTTTCTAGAGTATGATTGGTAATTCCTTCAACATCATTTATGATGAGTACAACATTTTTGTTATTTTTCTTCAATGCAATGAAAGATGACATGATTTTTTATCTATATGTCTCTTGTAATTGCAGCAAAAAGAAATATTGATGGAATGTATGCGTCCACTTAAGTCGATGGGACCAGGTCCTCAACACAGTTATAATATTTGACAGTAGAGAACAAATGTTGAAAGTAAAGATTGACAAGAGAGTTTACGTGGAAGTCTCCTTACTCAAGGGAGTAAAACCACGACCTGGTCTGCCAAGACTTTTAGAACTATTTTTCACTAATCTTCTCCAAGCAAAAGTAAAAGCCAGTTACAAACCGAGATTAGCTTGCTAATCCCAACTCTAAGTAACACTTCCTATTACTTAGACGAGCTAGAGTAGATACCACACTACCCACTATACTAATCATATTCAAATTAATATAGACTTTTAGAGTAAGAACCTAAGTTACCCTTAACCTAGTTCTTACAATGATTCTAACAGGTTGAAACGTTTCTTATCACAACGAAACGAATCCTACAATGTAAGCGCTATTACATCAAACAAAATACAGCTGGTACAGAAAGTAAATATATCGCAGCACTTCTATCAAGTTCCTTGCTGATTTTAAGCTTGAAAGTATCTCTCTTTGAATGAATGAGTAATATTGTTGTTTGTTGTTGAATATATATCAAGAAGAAATATTATCCAATGTACAAGCAACCTCCTCGTTTCTAATTGGTGAAGTACTCTGCAGCTTCACCAACTTTCTGACACAGATAGCTTTTACAGTTGTACAACACTTTGACAACTGGACGAGTATACATACTCTTCAGAGGACCAGGTCCCTGCACTTGTGAGGAGATCATCAAAACATCTAGGAACATACACACTTATCAAATATATTATGTGATGTCTCTAAATCCTATTTGTTGCAATAGAAATATATAAAAAAAAATGGTGCTTGAAAAATCCTAGATCTCAAGCTGTTTTTGAGAAACAATTGAAAGGTGAAAATTAAGGAACAAAAGAAGGGTTTTTATACTTGGTGTGAAATATATTTACAGAGTAAATATTTAAAAATCTTGTAAATAACTAGTCATTCTGTCTACATTTATTTGTCATGTTGCGCTTTTCGAAAGTCAATTTGACTAGTTTTCAAAGTTAAATTAGATTACATTAATTCGATATTTTAAACCAAAAATTTAGATATTCAAAAACTATACAAACAGTACTATAAGTAGCAATTTTTTGCTTATATAAAATTTTAGTCAAAGTTTTTATAGTTTTACTCTAAAAAGAACTTATGACAAGTAAAAGTGGACGGAGGTAGTATATATATTGATTTACATTAGATTTTATTAGAAGTCTCATCATTCATCAATCTTAAAGGGAAAAAGGACAAATATGCTCCTGAACTATCGTAAATGGTATGCAGACATTGGTGCCCCTACTGTCCAAAAACTAAAGCATATATACCCTTTATAATAACAAACATACATGTGTCACAATCCTATCCACTGACCCGACATTTATTAAATATCATATCGACGGAAAAGATTGCGCCACGTGTCGCTATATAGTCTTTCGTTAGAGTGAAGGGGATATATACTCTAGTTTGTGGATGAGAGGGGCACCAATGTCCCAAAAGTATGACGGAGGATATCTACATACCATTTATGATAGTTCAGAGGTAAATTTGTCCTTTTTCCCATATTAAAAACCTACCAAAAATATAAGAATAAAAAAGATAAATATACCCCCGAACTATCGTAAATGATATCTAAATACTCTTCGTTATACTTTTTGGACACTGATGTCCTTACCGTCCAAATTTTGGGACGTATATAACCTTTTTATAATGGCGGGACACGTGTCGCAATCTAAAACTTCTATCCAAAATTTATGAAATTTCAACCTATAAATAAAAGACCCACCCGGATTAATTAGAAAGCCCACCCAAATTATAACGCAAAACTTCTCTAAGCACTTGTCATCTTCTCCACCAAATTCAAATTAAAAAGCTTCAATTTTCTTCCCTACCAAAACCCTAGAACTCCCCATTCGCACTCCCAAATTCCAACACTACCGAGAAACTTTCATCTGCCCTCTTGCCACAATTGAAGCACCAGAGAAGGTAGTCAAGTTTGGAGTTTCAGCCTCATCTTCGGATCCGCCGACGTCATCAACGCCACTGGTCGAGCAGAACAGATGAATAGTTGTGGTTGAGGAGAAGAAATAATTTGACGTAGTATTCAATGAAATTCCTAGTAATGCTAAAAATGTGACTATTATATTCAACTTTTAAAAAATAATTTATAGTGGAGGCCAAATAATTCTTTCTTCTCCTCAACCATAACCACAACTTTTATAAAATTATTTTATAGTAGAGGTCAAAGAATTAAACGAAGTATTCAACTAGAGCATATGTTGCTGCCAAAGTTTTAGGAGAAAAAAAATTGCTTATAGTGGAGTATCATAAATTATTTTTAAAAAGCTAAAAATAACAAAAATCCATCTGACATTTCTCACAAAAATTCTTCTAGGCGTGTTTATAAGTAATTGAGGATCAAAATGCGTTTATGAAATTGCATTTGCAAACAAAAAATATGTGGGTTCCGTTTATAACGGAATTGAGAATTAAAATGAGTGGATAAAAGAGTAGATGGTTTTGGGTTATAATTTGTTTATGGGTTTTTTGATAAATTTGGTGGTAATTGGGTAGACGATTTTAGATTGCGACACGTGTCCCGCCGTTAGTAGAAAGGTTATATACGTCCCAAAATTTGGACGATATGGACATCAGTGTCCCAAAAGTATAATGAAAAGTATTTAGATACCATTTACGATAGTTCGGTGGTATATTTATTCTTTTTCCCAAAATATAATCTTAGTAAGACAAACAATATCATAAATAGGTAAATAAATTATTATCATTAATTCATTCTTTGTCAGTCAACGCAAAGCGAATAGAAAATCATACAAAATGATATGAATAATAAGCATTATATTTACAAGATTATCAAGAGAATAATTTTAAGTCATTATCTATTAAATTAGTATTACTTCATAAGGAAAATGAAAAAGAATATTTATGAATTTCATTTTTAAATATCAAACTCAGTTAATAGATTTAGAAAAAAAATATGTGGTGTAAAGTGGGTTGAAAATAAATTTCGTTTTTCTATATAAGATGGGGCAAATTAAAATCTTCATGACTTGAATGTAATCAAATCGTTTGACATCGCTAGATATAGTTCTATAAATGTCAAAAATGCCCATAGCTCAGGGAGAGATTTGAACAATTAATGTGAAAAAGCCTACGGTTATCAAGGTACAAAAGAAGTCTAGCTAATATTATTTTCAATTATTTAATTCCTGATAATATATATGTACAAGGGAGTAATCTTAATTCCTCCAGCAACGACAAAGCTTCTCCAATAGTGACAAAGCTTTTCCAATAGTGACAAAGCTTTTGGATTAGAACTAAACTAGCCGATGGAAGAAGTAATTTGTCACGGTTCAAATCGTCGTGATTGACACCTATATCAATCTTCACGTGGCAACCAAAACATAACATCTATAATATGTAATATCCAAATCAACTATCATAATTCAATAAGCAATCCATGATAAAATAATACATCCCATAATTCGAATGTTATCAAAAGAAAGGAAGATTTGCGGCAGTCACATGGAAGATAGATCGATGTTTATTAGCATAGTTATTAGGGTAAAACTTACCCGCACCAGGTGTATACACTTATCCAATACATGCATGCCATGTGTTTAAATTTATAGTTCATATTACTAAATCTTAATTAATTATCATGTGTTTTACTTCATTAAATCACATAATAAAGAAAATTGCATTAATTTTTTGATGTATAAACCTTGTGAGGGTAAGTTTTTTCCTAGTTGTCATAACTCTTGCACTTTTAGCTCTATTTAAAACATTTCAAATATTTTGTTCGAAAGCATGACTAACAAAAGATAGGTCCTTGTCTAGTACTCACTACGTCTTATATTAGTTGTCATATTTTGTCACGCCCCAAGCATTCACCTCGGACGTGGTTAGCACTCGAGAACCATTGTTGGCCCAAAGCGAACCCTTGACCTGGCTTACTTACTCAGCGGAAGACTCTATGCATATTACAATGATCAAATGCACTTACTCAATTGTTTAATAAAATAACTTAGAATGTTTAAAAGTCAACATTCAACTTGGTCAAAATGGCAACCCAAGTATTAACATATGAAATGATAATGTAAAGACAACTGAACTACTAACTGTCTATGAAGCCTCTAAAATAAAGAGGGATGTTGGGACAAGACCCCCGATCATCATAACAATGAAATACTGAAAGCAAATGATAAAAATGAGTCCTTCGGAATGCAAGGAGGCTCACCAACAAACTCTGAGTGCTCAACTGGATCAACGAGACACTGGATGCCGATCCTGGTTACCTGCGTCTGCATCATAAAACGATGCAGGTCAACTGGCATCAGTACATTGAATGTACTAGTATGCGAGTTGGAATGCTAAACACAACTTAAGCTTGAAAAGGATCTGAAAGGAACACTTATCTTGGCTTTACTCAACTCCTGAATAACTTAACTCAATATAAAGCAATAAACACATACAATATATAGAAAGCTTTTAAAACAGTAGAAAACAACTTAGTTCGTTAAAGAAAATGCAATAACAAACTCAACTTTACTCATATAATAAAGTAATATAGTTTCTGTGGGAGTTTCTCTAACAGACAACCACCACTATGAGCATAAGTGGTGATACAACATCTTCCCCACGCTGCCAGAACTGTCATATACTTTGTCATCATATAGAATGTTTAACTAAGTGGATCCACTAGTCTATGCTAAAAGCATCTTAAAGGAGTCATCTAAAAAG